TCATAAAAGCCATCCTGTGTGCTCCATCTGCACGCGCAATCTGCTTGTGTATTTTCAGCCAGCTTGCATGGGCAGATTAATGCGTACAATTAGAAAGCAACCTCACAGGCATTCAATAAACTGCCTTCATTATTACACTCAGGAGAGTCCCTTTGGATGTCAATAAAAGCCTAGTTTTCTGCCTGTTAGCTAAATAATTGACAACACTAAAAATAATCAGAAGCAAATGAACAAAGTCAGAAACAAGGTGTTAAGAAAGAGTACATTAAGATTCTTCTGATGGTGCCCCAGGATACTATCGGGATCTTCTTCTCCAACATCTTGGATTCACTCTTTGCCCCAGTCCATGATTGCCCTTCTCTGCTGGGAAACACACACACATACACACACATACACACACACACACACACACACACACACACACACACGTGTGTATGCACATCTTCCCCTAGTTTGCTATTTGAGCCATATTATTACAGCATACTGAAACTAGCAAAGATGTGAAGTATTGACTAATTCAAAAGAATTTCTTATTTGTGTTTCTACTTTGCTATTTTGCATTCCTTAGTTTTTACAGCTGCAAGAGAATCTAATTTGGAGGAGGAAAAGATGGGAAAAGGCCATTAGTTTATTGAAACCTTTAAGTTATCAAAATTCAACAAATTTCCCCCCACAAACTCATTCTAAGAAAATATGATAAAGGATTGTTATGTAAAGAAATCATCTTTTCTAAGATGTCCATTTTATATTTCTAGCTAAGCCCTGTTTATTCATGCCAGAAGCTATTGGTCATTTAATTTCAAAAGTAGTAATTTAAAACAAAATACACTTGAAAAAAATCACAGAGATATTTTTTACGTTTCTCAATAGGCTTTAAAAATCAATTTTAGATACTCCTCATTTTCAGCCAACTTCTCTTTTTCCTGGTTAACAGGGACTTTCAAGATAAGCCAAAGAAAGAGTGAGAGTGAAATGTGCGTGTAATTGAATTCAGCTCCACTGATAGTGTGTGAGGTGGCTGAAGGTAGAACTTATTTTTTTCCTTTACAGAAAAGGGAGAGTCATTTCTTAGATTTAGTAAAACACAGCTCTAGAAGCTGAAAGACTATGAAAGAAAGACTGGACAAAAAAACTTCCCACCAATATCTTATCCTTTACCAGTCTAAGACTCTCCTGAGAACAGACTTCTTCAGCTTCCCAATTCTATACCTAACACCCAGCAGTATAAGCGTAACTTTCCCTTTTCCAGTGTAAAACTGGGATGTCTCGGGACAAAGACATTTGTTCTTGTGACTCTCGGCTATGAATGCTCCCGTGGCTTTCACTTAACTCGCTCGACTCCTCTAATTGGGCCTAGAAATAAACTCTCATTTTGAACCTTTGAAGGGGAGATATAAATGCCCTTAGTGTCCCCTTTTTTCTTTTTTTTTTTGGTTTTGGGGTCACATCCGGCAATGTTCATGGATTACTTGCAGTTCAGTGCTCCTCCTGACATTGCATTGGGGATGATGTGTAGAGGCTGGGGATTCAACTGGGTCAACTGCATGCGAGGCAAGTGCATTATCCCCTGATACTATCTGGCCCCCAAACCTTAATATCTTAATCTATTGTTTTCTTGCCACTTCTGTCTCTCTGTGTCTCTCTGTCTTCCTTCTTCCTTCCCTCTTTTCCTCTCATCCTCTCCCTCCCTACCTCCTCTCTGTCAGACAGTCCTTTTCTCCTGACGTTTGATCCCTCTAATTCCTTCACCTTAATGACTCCCTCAAGAGAAGAGTGAAGAAAGACAGACTGACTCTAGGATTAAATAGGGCACTGCTTGTTTTACAAAGGAGAACATTATTTATTAGCATTGAAATCTGCGCTGATCTTACCTGCCACCCATTTTTCACTTTTATTTTTTTATTTTATTTTATTTTATTTCCGTTTAGGGTCACACCTGGCGATGTACAGGGGTTACTCCTGGCTCATGCACTCAGGAATTACTCCTGGCAGTGCATGGAGGACTATATGGGATGCTGGGAATCAAACCTGGGTCAGTCATGTGCAAGGAAAATGCCCTACACGCTGTGCTATCGCCCCTGACCCCTCATTTTTATTTTATGGCCTGGGTCAAGAACCTTTCTAAGGGGAAGTGAAAAATTTTTGTTGTTATTAATAATTTTTTTCATCCTTACTTCTGAATCTTAAAGCAAGAAGGAGCTGCAGTATGATTTCAGTAGAAAGGGAAAACCACCGGTCTTTGTACTTGGAGTAGGACATACTTTTGGGAGTCACACATATGCCCAATCCAATAACCTTATAATCTTAAATTCTGAAAATGAGTAATGATGATGTAAAGAGAGAATGAAGCAGAATAATCCAAGAAGAAAATCAATTTCTAAATTTTTAGTAGAAATTTCTGGTGGGACTAAAATTTCAGTACCATCTCTGCAAAATAAAAGTTGTATGATTTCTTTCAAAAAACACTTCTCTAAAGTTTCAAATTCCAACAAAATTCAAGCACTTCCATGACATTTATATGAGATGTTAAATTCTCGCAAATGGTCTATGGCAGAGAGAGTATCCTTTCTTATTAAAAAAAAAACACACAAAGGTTTAGTTCTTTGCCCCAGGTCACAGCTGTGGGTATAGAGCTATGATTTTGAACCCAGATTTCCTTGGCCTTAATTGTTATCACATGTGGTTTTAATATAGGACTCAAAATATAGTTCATTCATTTCATTTATGTTTTTAAACCTAGTACTGATAATGTGGATACTTAAAACTAAAAGTTTCTCTTTATACCCTGTACAAAAAGAAACAAAATAAAGATAGTGTAACATTATGCTATCAGTATAACAGTAGAATTAGACACTGTCCTCCCGTCATTGATCGATTTGCTCGAGCAGGCCCAGTAATGTCTCCATTTTTTTTTTTGAGACTTGTTGTGACTGTGTTTGGCATATTGAATACGTCACGGGTAGCTTGCCGGGCTCTGCCGTGGGAAAGATACTCTTGGTAGCTTGCCGGGCTCTCTGAGAAGGGCAGAGAAATCAAACCCAGCTCAGCCAGGCTGGCTGCGTGCAAGGCAAATGCCCTACTGCTGTGCTATCAAAGTATATAAAATATGTTCTCTACCTATTCAATCAATCAATCAATCACAACCATCCTGTTATTCATTGATTGCCTTGAGCAGGCCCCAGTAACGTCTCCTTCATCCTAGCCCTGAGATTTTTTTTTAAAAAAGTGCCATATTCAAGGCTCTTTCAGAGTTAGGAGAATGAGACCCTTCATTGTTACTGGTATTTGGCATATTGGGTACGCCACAGGGAGTTTGCCAGACTCTGCCGTGTGGGCAGGTTACATTCGGTAGCCTGCCAGTTTGTCCAAAGTAGGAATGAGATAATAAGATGTTGCTTCCGGGAGCTGGGTTTTATAGTCTCTGAGTCTTGGACTATAAAACCCAGCTCCCGGAAGAGAACAGCACAGAGTCTCTCCCCGCCCCGACCAGGGCTCCGGCAGCCGAAGACCTCCAGAACCAGGCACCACCATGCTGAGACCACTCTCCGCACACATGAAGGTACTGGCAGAGGAACAAAGGCACGCGGATCCCGGGACTGAGATCTTCAAGCCTACTCTGATCAGGGCTGAGCATCCTCCACCCAGATCTTCCAAATTCCAGTAGGCGGGGGTCACACCCACCAACTGGCCCCCTGGCGCTGTGTAATCCCATCAATGGCCATCTCTACCTATTACGGGTTGTTATTCAAAAACTATAATGGAAAACAGTATATAATCACCAATTTTGAGTTTTGCCATAATTACTAAAGGATTTCTCAATATTTGCCTATGAACATACAAGTGTGTAACAGTACTTGGTTTCTAGATTATAATAGAGTCCTAATTCTTTTCAGCTGAATCTTTTCTTTTCTTTTCTTTTCTTTTATTTTTTTATTTTTAGTGAAACACCATGAGGTACAGTTGTAGATTTACAATTTTTTGTGCTTGGGTTTCGATTATACAATGATCAAATACCCATCCCTCCACCAGTGCCCATTTTCCACCACCATAGATAATATCCCTCCCACCCCCATCCCTCCCATCTCACCCTGCCTCTGTGGCAGGGCAATCCCTTGTGTTCTCTCTCTCCTTTTGAGTGTTGTGGTCTGCAAAAGAGGCTTTGAGTTGCAAACATGTTCAGTCCATAGTCTACTTTCAACACGCATCTCCCCTCCTGGGAGGATCCTCCAAACACCCTTTATTTGGTGCTCCCTTCTCTATCTGAGCTGCCCTTTCCCCTAGAATGCCTGGCTGGCCTCTGAGCTATGGAGTAATCCTTCTGGCGTTGATCTCCGCTATTCTTGGGCTGGAGTGATAGCACAGCGGTAGGGCGTTCGCCTTACAAGCGGCCAACATGGCCGACCCGAGTTCGATTCCTCTGCCCCTCTCGGAGAGCCCAGCAAGCTACCGAGAGTATTCGATATGCCAAACACAGTAACAACAAAGTCTCCAATGGAGACGTTACTGGGCCCGCTCGAGCAAATCGACGATCAACGGGAGGGCCTTTACTTTACTTTACTTTACTTATTCTTGGGTATTAATCTCATACTTTGTTTCTTTATATTCCCCAGATGAATGCAATCTTTCTATGTCTATCCCTCTCTTTCTGACTCATTTCGCTTATCAGCTGCACCTTTTCAATCACTCTTCTTCTATGTCAGTATTTTGAAAGTCAACATAATAAGAAGTACCATTTAATACTTAATTATTAAATAATTAAGCCCTTAAATTATTAGAATAGATAATTTTTCAAATTTATTATTATTATTTCTAATAAATTAACTATACAATAATTTGGCAAATATAAATGTTTCTAACTTTTGAATCTCACATAATGGCAGAGTTCAACTACATAACTAAACAGACAATGTTTCAATACCAGATTTTTCCAGAAGTTACCATGACCTAGAATTTAAAAGTAGAACAAGATTGCTATCAAGTCAGAAAGCCCTTAGACTTACTATTGTCGATGCTCTCTAAATGCCTCTTTTCTAAGGTTTTCATGAAGTCTTCTTTTCTCCTCTAGTTTGTTACTCTGAAATTGAAAATATCAAAAAAGTAGTCTGTTAGAGAAGTTTTAAGCAAGTCATAATTTTTTTAAATTTAAAGTCCAAAGGGCTGGAGCGATAGCACAGCGGTAGGGCATTTGCCTTGCACGCAGCCAGCCCGGCCAACCCAGGTTCAATTCCTCCGTCCCTCTCGGAGAGCCTGGCAAGCTACTGAGAGTATCTTGCCTGTACGGCAAAGCCTGACAAGCTACCCGTGACATATTCAATATGCCAAACACGGTAACAACAAATCTCACGATGGAGACGTTACTGGGCCCGCTCGAGCAAATCGATGAACAATGGGAGGACAGTGACAGTGACAGTGAAAGTCCAAAATCTTTTAGACATTGGAGGCACACTGCCCTCAAGAGTCCAGAGAGGGCCAGAGACAAATAGGTACAGCAAATAGGTTGCTTGTCTTGCACATGGCCAACCCACGTTTGATGCACAGTACCCTACATAGTTTCTGGAGTCTGCTAGTAGTGATCCCTGAGTGCCAAACAAGGAGAAAGCCCTGAGCAATACTGGGTGTGGCTCACAAAAATAAAAGATTCCAAAATGATACCCTACTAGCATTCCAAGAAAATACCTGGGGCTGGAGTGATAGCACAGTAGGTAGGGCCTTGCACACAGTCAGCCCGGGTTTGATTCCCAGCATCCCATATGGTCCCCTGAGTACTGCCAGAAGTAACCCCTGTGCATCAGCGGGTGTGACCCAAAACCAAAGAAGAGAAGGAGGAGGAGGAGGAGGAGGAGGAGGAGGAGGAGGAGGAGGAGGAGGAGGAAGAGGAAAAGGAGGAGGAGGAGGAGGAGGAGGAGGAGGAGGAGGAGGAGAAACCCCTCTTCCCTCTATATCCTCTATAAAGAATTATAGAATGAGCCCTAGATCCACCACCACTAATTTAGTGACTTTGACAATGGCCACTACATTGAAATTTAAGGACCCCAAGTTCTTGCCATGGTTCCCTTCTCCCAACTGATTAGTATTATCATAGAATATTCCACATTTTTATTCTTTAGTTCAAGTGGTAGCAACATGCGTCTGTGTGTGTGTGTGTGTATATGAGTGTGCATGAGTGTGCATATTATACAGGAGTGGGGACCTCCAGTGATACTTGCCCAGTAATATGGGTTTATCTAGTACAGCAAACTCAAACAGGAGATACAATGTTTCTGAGGCCCAGATACATGAATACAGCCCACAATATGAGTATATTCAGCTTAGTTTTTGTTTGAAGGTGAGGAGGAGTTGGACCACACCTAGCTACACTCAGGGCTTACTCTTGGCTCTGTTCTCAGAGATCATTCCTGGGAGTGTCTGGGCAATTATATACAGTGTTAAGCCTGGGGCAGCCTCATGTATAGCAAGTGTCTTACCTACTGTACTGTCTCTCCAGCCCTCACAATATGTATAGCTAAAGAACTTTTTTCAACATTCTTTGAGGGAATCAAAATTTTCACACCAAGTATGTTCAATGAAAATGATAACACATGGTTAAACATCACATAAAAATTTACATATACACTCACATTCCACTTCACTTTGGAAAAGATTTTCAATAAGCCAACTCAACTCTCCTCTGATTCAGAATCAAATACTTAAATCTATTGAGAGACTCAACAGTAAATGTCATTTTTAAAAGCTATACACTTGAATACAAATAGTTTTCTTTTTTTTAATTAGTTGTTTAAAGAGTCGAGAGACAAAAGATTCGTATTAAATATCACTGTCACCATGGCTCTGGCACATTCTACTCCAACTAAAATAAAAACCAGGAACATTTGCTTTTTGCTTGCTATGATATAACTGTCATTAACAAAGAAATAAAAAAAACCCTTTATCGCTATGAAAAACAAGTAAAATTCTTAGACAACAGATTTGTGAAGAATTGAAATAATTTCTACACCATAGAAGATAACTAGTTTCAAGTGACTCCAAGGAGACAGCAAACAACTGGATTTGCTTTAATAAAAAAGACTTGGAAAAGACCTCGGAGAAGGAAATAATGGAAATCACTTCCAAACTCTGACATAAACTTGGCTTCATCTTTGAAAGAGGGAGCAATTTTTCATATCATTCATATGCATGAAAGTCTTCATTCACACTTTACTTAACAGTTTTATTTTGAAAGGTAAAATGGTGGATTTAACCTTTAGGATAAACAAGAAAAGTAACTATAGTAAAAGAAAACTAATTTTAGTACAAATCAAATGTGTTATTGATGAAGCACAGTTCTAGGAAACAAATATAGTATATAAATCAATAACTTAGAAAAAACTAACAAGATCTCAACCTGGAAAAAAATACTGATGCATAACATGATTTCCATACATCTCTGTGAAAAAATAATAAAAAAGTAATAAACAGCAAACAAGCAGTAATTACTGAAAGCACTGCTTAAGCCAGTATTTAGAAAGCTCATTTGACAGCAGTGAGAAAAACCACATAGGCATCTAGAGATAATGGCTGTGATCCTTTAGCAAGGTCAGAATTGGAAGACCAGTTTTATTGCCTTGAGTAAGATTATCACTGAATTCAACTAACAACAATAAGAGCATAACAGTTAAATTCTGTCCAAAGGTTTATTTATCTCTCAAAATCTGATGGGGAAGTATTTTACAAAACACCCAAGTTATCACACAAGTTGGTATTCGTTACTTACTTGTAACAACAGTTACCTGTTTAATACACTAAACATTCAAAGATATGGATTTAATTAAAATTAAAAATGAAAATATTTGGACTTAATCAGACTGTTTGTTTCCTGTTAACATGATCTTAAGTGATCGCTGAGGTGTATGTTCATTTGTAGACTCAAGTGCAGAACATAAAATAACAAGAACATGAAAAGCAGGAGAAAGAATTATAGAATAAGCCCTAGATAAAGGTAAAGGTAAAGGCCCTCCCGTTGATCGTCGATTTGCTCGAGCGGGCCCAGTAACGTCTCCATTGGAGACTTTGTTGTTACTGTGTATGGCATATCGAATACTCTCTCTCAGTAGCTTGCTGGGCTCTCCGAGAAGGGCGGAGGAATCGAACTCGGGTCGGCCATGTTGGCCGCGTGCAAGGCAAATGCCCTACCCGCTGTGCTATCGCTCCAAGCCCTAGATAACTACCTAATAACCACCACTAACTTAGTGACTTTTACAAGTATTTAATATCACTTAATCTTATTTTTCAACAAACCTATTATATGCTTGATGCTATGTTGATGCTGGGAATACAAATTAAACAGAAAGTTTGGGAGGCTTGCTGGGAGGATAGATAAGTTAACAGTGATGGCAGTGTGACTCAAGTGCTAGAACACTTGCCTATTGCATGTCAGGACCTGAGTTCAATCCCTGACACCACTAGGCCTCCTGGCATGGCTGGGTATGGCTCTGAAAGGCACCCAAGCACCTTTGTGAATGATCCCCAGACAACAATAAAAATAGATGAACACACCTTGCTGTGTTCAGGGCTTCCTCCTGGCTCTCTGCCCAAGGATTACTCCTGGTAGTGCTCTGGGAGCCATACATGATGCCAAGAATAGAACCCAGATCAGCTGCATGCAAGGTAAGTGTCCTACCCACTTGTACTATCTCTCTGACTCAAAAATAGCACTGTAGCACTGTCCTCCCATTGTTCATCAATTTGCTCGAGAGGGCACCAGTAACATCTCACAACAAATTGTGAGACTTGTTGTTACTGTTTTTGGCATATTGAATACATCACGGGGAGCTTGGCAGGCTTTACAGTGTGGGCGGGATACTCTCAGTAGCTTACTGGGCTCTCCGAGAGGGGTAGAGGAATCGAACCTGGGTGGGCCATGTCAGCCACGTGCAAGCCCGTGTGCAAGGCTGTGTGCAAGGTAAACGCCTTACCCGCTGTGCTATCAGTCCAGCCCTGACTCAAAAATAAACAATAAAATATATTATAGGAGGTAGAGGTTCGCAAATGATGTAAAATAAACATTGAGAAAAGAACAGAAGTGGGCAGTTGAGAAGTGCTCTCAACAGTTTCATCTTTATCCAGTGCTTCTCCGTGTAGAGCCCAGTCTAGGAAAAGTGATGAAAAGTTAAGCAACACTCAGAATGTTCTTTCTGACTTCAAGTTCACAGCTGAATATTCTCATTTTTATGCAGAGTGGTCTCATAGCTTTTTCAGAGTCCCCAAGTGATGGGCACCCAAATAAATAAAAGAATGAGAACCGCAGGCCTAATGAGAGAGAAGATTTTTTAAATTTATTTTTAATTCTAACCACCATAAGGTACAGTTACAGACTTACAAACTTTCGTGCTTGCGTTTCAGTCATACAGTGGTTGAGTACCCATCCCTCCACCAGTGCCCATTCTCCACCACCAATGATCCTAGTGTCTGAGGGAGAACAATTTTAGTATAACCTTAAACAAGCAGGACTTTTCCAGGAGATGGGAGTTATGAACATTACAGGAATTTTCCTCTGCCTAGGGAAGAGCAAGCAGAGGGTACTGAAAAAGATGGAAGTAAAGTCAGCATTCAGCAATGAATATTGTCATTTTTATGCAGAGTGGTCTCATAACCTTCTCAGAGTCTCCAAGAGACGAGCACCCAAATAAAAGAAAGAGCTTGTTTTCAAGGGACAAGCTTCAGTGCAACTGACATGGCTTCCTCTAGAAGGTACCATCTATCACCAACCCATCCCCACAGAACTAACTGCCTGGATGGAGAATCTGTTTCTAGTTCGCACAAAGGCAGTGATGGGCAGGTGGAGGGAGGCCCTAATTAGGAAAAGGATATCCCTGTATCTTACAATATTTTCAAATACGGGAGGCAAAAAAGAATAAGTCAGTTCAGGGACCACTAAGAAACTCGTGGATAAACTGAAAAGTGTGTGTTGTCAAATCAGTAGAAGAATTTAAGCTTGAGAAAGAGAAAGATTATGATTAGATAAGAATCTAAGTGTTAAGTAAAGAAATTTGGACTTCACTGGAGGCCATGATGAGCCATTATGTTCTCTGAAGCAGC